GGACCTATATTTTATTCATTTATTTATATTCGGTGCTGAGAATAGAACCCAGTGCCTCACACATGCTAGGCAAGTACTCTACTACTGAGCCACAACCTCAGCCCCCTATTTTCAATTTTTTTATTTTGAGACAGGGTCTTGCTAAGTTGTTTAGAACCTTGCTAAGTTACAGAGACTGGCTTTGAACTTATGATCTTCCTGCCTCAGCCTCCCAGGCTGCTGGGATTACAGGTATGTACCTCCATGCCTAGTGCAATTCTAGTTTTCAACATAGTTTCTATAGAAAAGTTCCTGGAGAAACAACTGAAAATAACCCAAATATCTACCACATACAACTTGATATATTCATACAACAGAATAACAAATAGTAAAAATAATGAACTGTGACTATGTGCATCAAGTTTGATGAATCTCATAAATGTAATACTAGACACAAAGGGAACATTAGATATGGAACCCAAAAAGTATAAAATTTGGTAACATATTGTTCAGGAATCCGTAACATTAATAGTAAAACTATAAAGGAAAACAAGAAAATGGTTAAGTGCATTTACAGACTAGAAGTTCCTTCACTGGAGAAATAAGAAATAAGTTGTGAGAGATTTGAGATTCAGGATACCTCAAAGGAGCTGGTAATGTTCTATTTCTTATTCTGGATAACATGTATTAGAAATCTCATTTATAAGCCAGGTGTGATAGTGTGCACCTATAGTTCCAGCTTCTTGGGAGACTGGGACAGAAGGATCTGTTGTTCCCTGAAGTTTAAGGCCAGCCTGGGTAATATAATGAGACCCTATCTTTTAAAAAAATCTATTTTAAATGATGCGTGTGCATACTCTTCTGTAGGTGTGCATCATTTCACAATAAAAGCTTTTTTAAAAAATCAGGCTTTACATGTCAATGTTTATAGCAGCTCAATTCACAATAGTTAAACTGTGGAACCAACCTAGATGCCCCTTCAATAGATGAATGGATAAAGAAACTGTGGTATATATACACAATGGAATATTTCTCAGCATTGAGAGAATAAAATTATGGCATTTGCAGGTAAATGGATAGAGTTGTAGAATATCATGCTAAATGAGGTAAGTCAATCCCCAAAAAGCCAAAAACTGAATATTCTTTCTGATGATTGGATGCTGATCCACAATGGGGTGGGGGGGAAATGGAGGAACTTTCATTGGGCAAAGGAGAGGGAGGAGAGGGGCAGGAAAGATGGTAGAATGAGATAGACACCATTACCTTAGACACATGTATGACTACACATAAGTTGAAACTCTACATCATATACAATCAGAGAAGTGAAAAGTTGTGCTGCAATTGTGTACAATGAATTAAAATGCATTCTGTTTGTCATATTCATATATACCTAATTAGAACAAACAAATAAATAATAAATAATCAGGCTCTAGATCTTTATTATATGAAGCCATATTTTTGCTATACTTTTCATCCTCCTGCCAGAGGATGGATAGAACAATCTATCTCTAGTAGGAGAGGAGTTTAATACAGAGGCAGGAATTGAGACAAGAAAAAAAGAGAGACTCAATGAAAGAGCCTTTTTATACTGAAACTGCTTTATGGCTGAGGTCAGCATTTCTTTTCTTTTCTTTCTTTTTTTTTTTTGTTCTATTATAGTTCTGTTATTATTTTTCACATATTTTTTGTTCTATTAAAACTTTCTTATTATAATTTTCATGGGGTTCCTATCATTGGTTGTCAAGAATTCTGACCAAAAGCCTTAAAAGAAAAAGAAAACCCTGTCATTTGTGACAATATGGATGAACCTGGAAGACATTATACTAAGTGAAATAAACTAGGGACAAAAAGACAAATACCACATGACCTCACTCATACACAGGATCTAAAAATATCAAACTCATGAATAAGAGAGTAGAATGGTGTTTACCAGGGGCCCGGGTAGTGGTGGGAGGCTTGTAGGGATGTGGGTGAAAGGACAGAGAAGTTCAGTTAGAAAGGAGGAATAAGTCCATGAGATCTATTGTACTACATGGTGACTATGTTACCAACAATGTATTATATTCTTGAAAACGGTTGAGAGTAGATTTAAGTGTTCTCACCAAAAATAAAAAAAATAAGTGAGGTAACACAGATATTTACTAATTTAATGTAGCTATTGTACAGCGTATATACAATCTCAAAACAAATGTTGTATATCATAAATGATAAAAATATTTATCAATTGAAAATATTTTTAAAAATATTCCTGAAAATTTTATGTCTACTTGTACATTCTCTCTCCCACTACACCACGAACTTTGTAAAAGCAGGGAATACAGTCTCACTTGTTTATCACCAAATTCCCAGTTGCCTAAAACAATGCCTAGCATATAAATGCTTTTCACATATTTGTTGAATGAATAATAAACTACTTAAAATTTCACTTCTGACAGTTTTGTAATTTTCTATTTGGTGGTGATTCCACCATTAAATATGATGGCATCATTATATCACTAGTACCCAGCCAAATGCCTAGCAAAATGCTCAATAAATTAAATAAATATCAAATAGACACATAGAAACAATATTTTTCTCTGCAATGCAACCTTTACTTCAAACTCCTTCATTTGAAAGTCAGAGCAAATAACCTTCTGAATTAATTTGATCTTTATATTCATCTGCTTAATATCTTGCAGCAGACAATTCTTTCTCTTTTCTTTCTCCTGCAGCCGCCCAAGATGCCAAAAGGAAGAAGGCCAAGGGGAAAAAGGTGGCCCAGGCCTCCACCCTGGTCAAAAAGCAGAAATCCAAGAAGGTGGTGAACCCACTGTTCGAGAAGAAGCTGAAGAACTTTGGCATAGGACAGGACATTCAGCCCAAAAGGGACCTTACCCGCTTTGTAAAGTGGCCCGCTATATCTAGCTGCAGCTGCAAGGGGTTATTAACAGTCACCCAGCAGCTTAAGTGTGCCCACAAGTACAGACCAGAGATGAACCAGGGCAAGAAGCAGAAGCTGTTGGCCTGGGCTGAGAAGAAAGCTGCTGGCAAAAGGGATGTCCCTACGAAGAGACCGCTGGTCCTTGGAGCAAGGGGTCAGCTGGTGGTGATTGCACATGTCGTGGATCCCATGGAGCTGGTTGTCTTCCTGCCCTTCCTGCTTGGCAAAATTAGTGTCCCAAGGTGGGAGTTCCTTACTGCATCATCAAGGGGAAGGTCAGGCTGGGACGTCTAGTTCACAGGAAGACATGCATCACTGTGCGTTCACACAGGTTAACTTGGAAGACAAAGGAGCTCTGACTAAGCCGGTGAAAGCTATTAGAACCAACTACATTGATAGATATGAGGTCCATAGCCATATGGGGAGGCAACATCCTGGGTCCAAAACCCGTGGTTGTCATTGCCAAGCTGGAAAAGGCAAAGGCTAAATAAAGAACTTGCCACTAAAGTGGGATAAATGTACACTGTTGGGTTTCTGTACATAAAAATAATAAATTGTCCTCTTGAGCGGGGAGGAACCTTGCCGTAATAGTAATAATGTACTTCCGTGGTGCTCAATATTCTGAATGCTTTTCACATACTAATTCATTTACTCCCACAACAACTCAGTGGAGGGGGAATTATTCTCACTTTTCAGAAACACAGGCAAACAGACACAGAGAAGTTAAGTAATTTGCCTAAGATTACACAGTAATGGTAGAGCCAGGTTTTAAACCTGTGGAATCTGGCTTTACAATCTATGCTCTTGACCATAATCCTGTAATCCCTTTCCGTGGATTTGTATAGACAAAGGAACAAAATCCAAAATTCTTAGGAGGTCCATTAAATCTTATCTCCAAAGTTGTTTCCTACCTCTCCCTTCTATGAACCCTAGGTTCCAAATGGTAATGTTTACTTTTGAACAAAAAATTTCCTTCGTTCCCTTTCTTCCTGGCAAACTTTCATTCATTTCTCAAAACCCAGTTCAAAAGGTCTTCTATTGAAGCCCTCCTCAATTCAGACTTCCTTATTTGCACTCTTAAAACTTTGTGAGTTCTTATCACATTGTTGTAATTATTAGTTTGTATGGTTTTCTTCTCTCTAAGGCTAGGCTCATATCTTATTCGTTTATAAATAGGCTCGATGGCAAAATTAGCACTGCCACATGAAAGGCACTAAAATGTTTATTAAATGAACCAACACTGAGTTCAACTTGACTTCATTACTCAAGATGCAGAGTGAAACTTTGGCATCCTATCAGTTTGTCATAATCTATTAATGCTCTGTGACCATTGATATATTTGTTTTGCTTAGCTATATCACAGTTTCAAATTTCTACTAGTCTCTGCTTGTTTTACTTTGTCCACATAACATTGTTTTGACACTTCTCATATAGCACAAAGTAAATTATGGTCTGCCTTTCTCACTTGTACTAAACAAGCCCCTTGAAGGATGCTTATCATCCCCAATAGAGGGGCCCAAGGGTTGGGATATAATAAAAGGCTAACAGCTCTTTGGCAAACTGAATTCAATTTCAATTGGTTTGATTGGGTTATGTGGGTATTCGAGTAACTCTTATCTTCATTTCTTTTCCTCTGACTGGCCTGATAATTTTGTTTTCAGTTTTTCACACACCATAATTTTCAGCCCTATAACAATTCCAATATAGGGAAAGTAGGTTCATGGGCTAAAAGCACAGAAAAGCAACTTTAGATGGAATATATTTTCATTTAAGTTTTCAGTTTTCCTATAGTATAAACTCTAAATAGCTTGGGTAATTTAAACTTGGCTTCATATTATTGTCCCTCAAATTAAAAAACAACAGTATGGGGCTCGGGATGTGGCTCAAGTGGTAGCATGTTCGCCTGGCATGCGTGAGGCACTGGGTTCGATCCTCAGCACCACATAAAAATAAAATAGAGATATTGTGTCCACCTAAAAAAAACTAAAAACTAAACATTAAAAAAACAATGGATATCCAATCCTTCAAATTTAAAGACAATAATGCTAATTACTTGATACCAAAATTTTTGGAAAGATTGGTATAAAATATTACACCATACCTGTAATTGGAATCTTCCAGTATGAAAATTTCGAGAAATAAAAACACATTGAGAATGAGATTTCATCTTTGCCTTTGATGGTTTTTGCCTGAATCTCTCACAAGTTGCTTTAAATTTGGAATTTTGAAATATTTCTCTGAAAGATATTTTATAGAGAATATTATTAAACATGAAATAGGTCATAAACCAGTTAAATAATTATTTCTAATATTTATACTAAGGGTTTAAATATCAGAATAAACATATTACAGCATATTTATTTTTAAAAACACTCATCAATTTATATACTTTCTTCTAACATGTTAGATTTTATTATATCTATTTTATTCAAAAAATATAAATTAAGCTAATTATAAAGGGTCAATATTTCTAGTTTGAGTATTAACCAGGAGTCACTTTTTTTCTGGTTGTGAGATAATTAGTTGACTTTAATGTTAATTAGCCTTTTTTATAAATTTTTCTTTCATAGCAAAGAAAATTAAATGAATTTCATTGGTCACTTTTGGTAATAATATCTCTGGAAAAAAGTAAGAAGGAAACTGAATTGAAATTAATGACTTACAAAGGAAGAGTACCTGTGATCTTTTATTATCCATGCAACCGCAAGCAAATGAGGAAGGATTAAAAATAATGAAGTGGCAAGTAAAAACTCAGCTGATCAAAGGCAGATAGTTAAGTACAAAGGAATGTGGTTTCAAACAGTTATTATAAACTTAAGGATTTAAGAAATAATTCTTCCAGAAAATGGAATAATATTCAGAGCTAAAAAGAAAAGAACTGTCAAGTCATGAAAGGACATGGAAACTTAAATGCACATTTTAGAACAAAAGAGGCAAATCTGAAAAGGCTACATACTGTATGACAATCTGGAAAAGACAAAACTGTGTAGACAGTAAAAAAAAAAATCAGTGGTTGCTGGAGGGAGGAAGGAAATAGATGAAGCACAGAGGGTTCTTAGAGCAAAGAAAATGCTCTGTGATACTCTCAGATGCAAATGTCATTATACATTTGTGCAAATCCACAGAGTACACAACACATGAGTAAACCTTAATATAACCTACAGATGGAGAATGATAATGTATTGATAGAAGTTCCTAAATTGTTGCCCTCCACAAATAATAATAATGCTGATTACCATTTCTTCTTTCAGAGGTACTAGAAAAATTCCAAATTAATTCAAGAGATCATACTATGTTACTTAAGGAGGTATTAACAATTAGGATTCATTCATTATTTAATTCAATTCACTTAACAAATATTTGAGTACTCATTATATGCCAGATGTGCTAGGTGTTAGTGGTAAGGGGGAAAAAAAAGCCACAATCACTACCCTCATAGAATTGTCATTGCTCTTATGGAACTTAAATAGTAGTAAGGGAGACAGACAATTAAATAATCACAAGGAAATGAAAAATCACAACTGTGGAAAGTGCTATTGAGGAAAGCTACCTGGTGCTGTGTGATGTAACAAAGGGAATTATCCTGAATAGAGTGGTTGAGAAAGGCTTTCCTGAGGAGGGGAGGATTGAACAAGGGCATCTGAAGAAATAATAGTAGTAATAGGTAGAGTTTGGTGGAAGAGGGAAGATGTGAAAGTAAGAATATTCTAGACAGAGAAAACATCAGGTACCATGATCTAGCAGCCAGATTAAGAGAAACACATAAAGCAGGAGGGAAAGTAGGGTGTGAATCTGGAGACTATGGGTAGCCAGAGCATGTAGGGTCTTAAAAGTCATGTTTTATTGTTATCCTAAAAGCAATAGGAAGTCCTTTAAAATATAATGGGGCTGGAGAAGAAGGAATCGGTGACTTGATCAGATTTGTATTTGGAAAAATTCTGGCTGAAGTGTAGAAATTGAATGAAGATAATATTGAAGGTATGAGGTTGGTTCTAACCTCTATTATAGTGGTCTATATGGGAGATAATGATAAATTGGGTGAGTAATGGTTGGGCATAATGGAGAGAAATGAATAGATGTGAGCAATTTTTTTGAGGTAAAATAAAACTTGGTGATGGATTTAGTGTGGATAGGGCAGAGAGAGGGAGTTTTTTAGAAGAAAAACAATCTTTGGCTTCACATTTTCCTCCAGCTACTAACCATTAGTCAACTTCTCCTCACAAAAATAACTTCTTGAAAGAGCTGTCTATATGTCAATTTTCTTACCTCTTGTTTTCTCCTCAAAGGAGAATTTCTGAACCCATCTCTCCACCAACACTTCATCAAAGTGACCAATGACCTCCATATTGCCAAATCTGAAAATAATTTATTTCTCCTCATCTTTCTCAACTTAAGCACCTTCAACATAACTGGCTGACACCTCCTTATAACAATTTTTAATTTTGACTTTGTTGGCACCATACCTTTTTTCCCCCCCCCCTCAGATGGTGTTGATTCTTTCTACTCTTCTGCTAGATTTCATCATGGTAGGATGAAGTGTGTAGTACTAGTTCTCTTTCTCTTTTGACAATCACTCCCTGGTTATTCTCATCAGGTTCTAGCCTTTAGATACTCTCTGTATATCAAATCTTCAACCCTGTCTTCTCTCCTGAAGTTTATGTGTATATTCAACTGCCTATGTGACATTTCCACTTTGATGTCTAATACACTTTTCTATAGGCTTTCAAGCTTATATCCCAAACTGATCTCCTACTTTATCACCACTCCCCCAAATTGATCCCGTTATGATAATTTCCTCATCAAAGAAAATGGGAAAACCAATTACTCAGTTGCTCACCACAAAAACTTACACATCAGCATTAATTCTGTCATTTCACTTATCTTTCCTTACTTCATTTAATCTATCAACACGTCCTGATTCTACCTGCAAAACACATTCCAAATCCAGACCTTTCTTTTCATCTCCTTTATGTTAATATTAGTTCAAGACACCATCACCTCTCACATGGACTAAATAGCCTCCTAGGTTGTCTATCTGCTTTCATTCTTGCTTTCTTAAAATTCAGGCTTCACAGAGAAATAAGAAACATCTTTAAAAAATATAAACCAGAACTCTTATACATTGATGTTGGGAGTACACATTCACTTTGGAAAACTATTCAGCAGTTTCTTATAAACTTAATCATATGATCTAACAATTCTACTCTTAGGTATTTATCTAAGAGAATTGAAAATGTGTGTACAAAAAATTTACATAAGAATGTCCATGGTAACCATCCCTGAAAGCTAAAACTTGGAAACAATTCCAATCCACTAATAGAAGAATTAAAAAAAAAGTATTTTTGTTCATACAATGGTATACTACTTATTATTAAAAACAACAGACTGTGGGGACTGGGGTTGTGACTCAGTGGAAGAGCGCTTGCCTAGCATGTGTGAGGTACTGGGTTTGTTTCTCAGCACTGTATATAAATAAATAAAACAAAGGTCCATTGACAACTAAAAAATATTTAAAAAATAAAAAAAATAAAAACAACAGACTTGATAAATGTAACAAATATATCTAAAAAATATTATGGTGAGTGAAAAAAGCAGACATAAAGAAGTCCATATGATTCTGCTTAAGTTCAAGAATAGGCAAAATTAAACTATGACAATAGAAAGCAGAATAATGGTTGCCTCTGAGGTAGGACATAGGAATTAACGCCTGGAAAAGAACATGATGGAACTTTTAAGGTGTTAAAGATTTTCATATTTTGACTGGGGTGGTTACATAAATATTTATTGAAATTTATCACTGTGCATTTAAAACCTGTATGCTCCATTGTATGTTAATTATACCTCAACTTTAAATTCTTTTTTAAAGTATTTTTTTTAGTTGTAATTGGACACATGTGAGGCATCTCCTGACCACTTTATTTATTTGTTCATTATCTGTCTCCTGCAGTGGTACTGTTAAGTCTATGCGACAGAAACTTTGTCTGACTTGTGCACAGTTGTATAATCAATTCCTAGAACAATGTCAGACAGCCAATAAATATTGGAAGAAAGAATAAGTCAATAATTTCTTGGTTTCTGATTTGTACATGTGGATGGGTACCACTTAGTCATTTGCTGAGACAGGGAATATTAGAAGAGTAATATGTGGGAAAATCATGTTGCAATTTACATTTTTAAACATCAGACAATGCAAATACTGATATGATTGAATAATTAGAAGCACCAGATTTTAGAATGAAAGGAAGGAGGTTTCAAATAATATTTATTTTTTTCTGTTTCTGGCAAGACACTACTACTTCTGGACCATACCAAAGCATTCTGTCAGTTCTTTTCTTAGCTGTCTCCTAAAGAAAGAGTTTATTTCCCTCTCAGCAATGTTTTTAACCTCAAATTGAAGTTGAAATTTTAAAAATTTCTAGCTTTATATTACAATCAGTCTCATGATTTCTTGAAAATAAAATAGGATTTATTATTCTTCAAAATTTTCATGCATAAGGGTTGCTATCTTACTCGAGTTCTTTGGGCTACTTAAATAAATATATGTATGTATATATTTTTAGTGGTAGTGGGAACAATACCTTTTATTTATTTATTTTTATATGGTGCTGAGGACCAAACCCAGTGCTTCACACTTGCTCTACCACTGAGCTACAGCTACAGCCCCTGGGCTATTTAAAACATAAAGCCTTCCCTCCCCAACCAAAGGTTCTACAACCAAATCCAAGATTACAAAATCAATACTGTTATAGTTACTTAAGTTTAATGCTATTTGAAAAAGCCCTTTGAATTTTTAAAAGAAAAACTATTCTAATAAAACTTACCTTCGTTTGCAAATTAGGAACCACAAAGCAGATGCCAAAGCAAAGAAACCAATTCCCAAACTAACAGCACCAGCAGCCAGAAAATAGGTTAAGTAGTTATAAAAACCTATACAAAAAAATTATAAAAGATTATTTCATGTATGTATCTTCATTCTCTACGTAAATTTAAATTATATAATCTTCCAAGTAATATAGTATAGTGTGAAGATTCTGGGACATTGGGAGACCTGAATATTCATCCTGTGTTATTCTAATAACTTGAAAACTCCAAGTTAGAAAATGGCATAGAGCCCCCTGCAGATTAGGTCCTAGGGCACATTACTTTGACCTTGCCAGGATTTGAAACCTAGATTTGTTTTTGTACAGCTGTCTCCTCCTCCTCCTCCTCCTCCTCCTCCTCCTCCTCCTCCTCCTCCTCCTCCTCCTTTTTCTGGTTTTCTCCCTTCCCAGACTATCTGTAAATTTTTGTTATTCCTTTGGTATCAATACTGATAGACCTCTGACACAAGAAGGTTTAAATGAATTCTAGGATTCATATTATCTCTGGGTGTGGTGGTAAATGCCAGTAATCTCAAAGATTCTGGCACCTGAGGTAGGAGGATCACAAGTCTGAGGCCAGCCCGTAGCTTTTAAACTTTAAAAAAATTTAAAGAATTTTTTTAAAGGATTGGGAATGTAGCTCAGGGATAGTCTCTGGATTCAATACCCAGTATAATACATATATTCATATTATTAATCACTATAAGGAGGCAAGTAAAGAAAATAAAGGAATAAATATGAGGAATTTGTTTATTTTTTTAAATCAAAGTTGCCTTTTATTCATTCACCATAAACTACTGATTTTAAGAATGTATTTAATTGCTTGGATTTTAAGATTTAAGAAACCTTTAAAAATTTTATTTCCACTTTAAGGAACTGTAAAATATCCAGGTCAAAAACTAAATGAAGGCAATAGAAAATACTAGCATATCACAAATTTTGTAATTGTGAAATTTTATAATCTGGGAATTTTACAATATAGAAATTTTATGATATAGGATTTACAGTTTTACTCCTTAATTTTACAAATGGCAAAATTGAGGTCCATGTAAGAGAATTAACTGAACTAAGATTGTGCAGCAAATTAATCCTAGTGTTTTGGTTTTTTTCTATAATCACTGCTATGAAACATTTTAATGCTGGTATATTAAAAATAATAAGGAATAATACTGAGGATGGTGGTGCACATCTGTAATCACAGAGACTCGGGAGGCTGGAGGATTGCAAGTTCAAGGCTAGCCTCAGCAATTTAGCAAGGCCCTAAGCCACTTACTGAGACTCTGTCTCAAAAAATAAAAAGGGCTGGGGATGTTGCTCAGTGGGTAAGCACCTTGGATTCAATCCAATTAAATAAAGAAAGAAGAAAAAATAAAGTAGGTACTTATAGATAGTTTGGTTAAGTCTTCATTAAGGTTCTGAAAGACACTACCTAAGCATAAAACAAACTGCAGAAACTCTCACAGAAGGCAATATAGAATCTAACTGAGGAATAGATGATTTGGGAAGGAGGGTTAAAAAGTATAAAACTGGGCTGGGGTTGTGGCTCAGTGGTAGAGCTCTCACCTAGCATGTGTGAGGCCCTGGGTTCGATCCTCAGCACCACATGAAATAAAGATATTGTGTCCATCTACAACTAAAAAATAAATATTTTTTAAAAAAGAAGTATAAAACTAATTGAAGATCTTTTTATGGGAACATATAATCAAGTTTCACTAAGGATATGACATGATTTTTGTTTCCATATTTGTGTTATTTCCCAAGCAAATTCCAGTTTCATGATAGTATCTCTCAACCCTTGGTTTTCTTTGGATTCAGAACTGTCTACATTGAGGAATTAACAACATGAAAACACCATGAGCATGCTGGGCTCTGAGATCTGTTTGCAATCTGCAAGAAACAAGCAAAACCCCAAAACCAAAGAAACAAGGCAAGACCTAGTCCAAACTATCCTCTGGCACAGTGAATGAATCCATATGACCAATATCTCTGAGAGAAGAGAGCTCTGAGTCGTCAACAAAAGTCCAATTTGAAACAGGACCAATGAGGAATCTTAGAAATGAAAATTTCAAAACTTTAAAATGGAGTAAACCCTTCTTTGAAAACAAAGAATAAATGAAATAAAATATAGTCCTGAGAAATTTATCCAATTACACAAAGAAATGAAAATATGATAAAAAAATTATGAGACATGGAAAAGCTCAAGAGTACATAACATAAAACCAAAAGGATTCTTTCTCTTTCCTCTCTCCCTCCCTTCCTTTCTTCCCTTCTCTCTCTCTCTCTCTCAAAAAAAAAAAAAAAAAAAAAATTCCCAAACCCAAAAGAATGCCAGGCGTGGTGATGTACACCTAAAATCCTTATGACCCCAAAGGATGAAGCAGGAGGATTTGAAGTTTGAGGCCAGCCAGCCTCAATTTAGTGAGATCCTGTCTCAAAAAAAAAAAAAAAAAATGGAACCACCATTTGACCCAGCTATCCCACTCCTCCGTCTATACCCACAGGACTTAAAAACAGCACACTTCAGGGACACAGCCACATCAATGTTTATAGCAACACAATTCACAATAGCTGAACTGTGGAACCAACCTAGATGCCCATGAGTTGATGAATGGATAAGGAAAATGTGGTATATATACGCAATGGAGTACCATTCCGCATTAAAAGAGAATAAAATCATGGCATTTGCAGGTAAATGGATGGAGTTGGAGAATATAATGCTAAGTGAAGTCAGCCAATCCCAAAAAACCAAATGCTGAATGTTTTCTCTACTACAAGGATGCTGATTCATAATGGGTTTGGGGCAGAGCCTAGGAGGATTAGTCAAACCCTAGATAGAGCAAAGGGGAGGGCAGGGAAGGGAGGGGTCATGGGGGTAGGAAATACAGTGGAATGAGATGGACATCATTACCCTAAGTACATGTATGATGACACAAATGGTGTGAATCTACTTTGTGTACAACCACATATGAAAAATTGTGCTCTATATGTATAATATGAATTGTAATGCATTCTGCTATCATATATAACAAATTAGAGTAAAAAAATTGCCTTCAATATAAAAAATAAATAAATAAGGGCTGGGTTGTGGCTCAGTGGTAGAGCGCTTACCTACCATGCGTGAGGTATTGAGTTTGATCCTCAGCACCACATAACAATAAAATAAAGATACTGTGTCTACCTATAACTAAAATATAAATATTTAAATGAATGAATGAATGAATGAATAGATAAAAATGGGCTGGGGCTGTAATTCAGTGGTAGAGCACCCCCGGATTCAATCCCCAGTACTGCAAAAACAAAAGCCAGGAGTTCCACTAACTTTGTTCTTTTTTATGGTGCTGGGAATCAAATCCAGGGCCTTGCACATGTCAGGCAAGAGCCCTACAACTGAACTACACCCCCAGCCCAAAAGGAGTTTCAAAAGAGATTACAAAATAAACAGTACTCAGAAATAAAACCCAAAGTTTTTTATATTAACATTTTAATTTACATATTGTAAAACATACATTTTGTGTGTGCACTTCTTGACAAATACAGAGTGTTTAATCACACTGAAACCAAGCTACAAAGCACTTCCATTACTTGTCCTTTCCAAATTTCTTAATTCTGTCTCTGGGATCCCTCACTAAATGCTAGTAACCACTGATTATTTTTTATCCTTATAATTTTTGTTTTCCAGAATTTCATGTAAATGGAATAAAAAGGCATGTAGCCTTTTGAGTCTGCTTTTCACTTAGCATAGTACATGTAAATTTCATCCATGTTGTTATATATGTCAATAGTTTGTTTCCTTGTATTGCTGATTAATATTTTATTTTATAGATGTACCACAGTTTGCTTTTTCCTTGGATGAGAGACATTTGAGTTGTTTCCAGTTCAAGGAGTTAGGAATAAAATTATTACATACTTGCATATAGGTCTTTGTTTGAACATAAGTTTTTATTTCAATATTTTCATGCAGCAAGTATTTGTTAAACTTTATAAGAAATTGCCAAACTACTTTCTAGAGGGGTTGTGGCACCTTTCTTTCTCACCAGCCATTCCAATTGCTCTGTATTACCACCACCACTTGTACTACCAGTTTCATTTTAGCCATTCTAATAGATGCGTAGATATTTCATTATGGTTGCAATTTGCATTTCCTTATTAAATAATGATGTTGAACATCTTTTAATGTGCTTATTTGCCATTCACATATCTTCTTCAGTGATGCATCTATATAAATCTTTGCTGAGTTTTGAGAATTCTTTATATATTCTAGGTACAAGTCTTAGATTTAGAAACATTTTCTCCCAGGCTATGACTTGCCTTTTCAATTCTCTCAATAGTGTCATTAAAAATCAAAACATTTTTCATTTTGGAGATGTCCAATTTACAATTTTGTTATTTTATGGATTATTCTTACAGGTCCTTTAAGAACTCTTTGCCTAACACAGGTCACAAATATTTTCTCCTATATTTTCCTTTAAATGTTTATAGTAAATACTAGATACACCAGGGACTGTTCAAAGTGCTTTACATATATTAACTTGATTCTCACAACAACCCAATGAATTAAATACTATCATTTCTTCACTGTGATGAGAAAATAGATAAGTCAAAGGCATACAAATGCCAAGTGGGGGGAATGAGATTAATTTAAATCGCTAAGGTCCTTCCTTATCTAGATTGATAGAGACCATGAATATTTTTAGACTTCATTAGCAAAACAGTTTAAGGATGTTTAAGTTTAAGAGTATCATAGAAGAGAATATTTAAGTAGCCAAAACACATGTGAAAACTGTGTTAATTATCAAGGAGGAGCAAATTAAACCACTATATGATATTATGATGTCCAAAATGAAAAAGACAGAATATAATGTCCAAAATGAAAAAGACAGAATACATCAAAAATTGACAAGAAAAGAGTAAATTGAACTTTCACTGGATGCTGGTAGCAATGTACAATACTTTGGGAAACTGTTTGGCACTATCATTAAAACTAAATATATGCATATCCTATGATCCAGAAATTCAACTGTTAAGCATATATCTGACTGAAGAGCACAAACATTTTCACAAAAACATGTTTATAGCAGCACTATTTGAGATAACTCACAAATTGGAAACTCCCCAAATTTCAGCAGAAATTGAATGGATAAATTTAGAAAACTGAATTGACTAAAGAAAACAAAATGTCCCACACTAATGGGAAAGAATGGATTATAGCCATGCAAGACAAAGTGGATAAATTTCAATAGACATAATGTTGGGCAAAAGAAGTCAAACACAGAGTTCAAACACAGACATTCAAGGGTAGTTTTTGGGTGCTGGATATAAATAAATGTGTGTGTGTGTGTGTGTGTGTGTGTTTTTAGTGAAACTTCATCAAGCTTAACATTTATGGCTTATGAGTAAAATAAATCTATATATTAGTATGAATAGAGCTGAAACACATAATGTTCAGTTAAAAAAGTTAAGTTCCATAAATTTAACTTCAATAATTTCAGCTGATTCTGATTTAATTTATGAACATTGAAAGAAACACAAAATAATACTTTTAAAAATTAAATATAAGTATTAAAATACACCAAATTCATGATGTTAGTTGACTCTGACTATGGATGAATTATAGACTTTGTAATGTTTCATACCTTAAAAAAGTCAAAGCTTTAACACTCATAGACCACCCCCGCCCTGGAAATGCTCATTTAGGAGGACATCCATGGATGTCTGTTGTCCTTTTTTTCTTTTCATTTTTCTAATTTTCTCAAATATTTAAAAAATGTAAAAGTAATATAATCTCAATTTTGGAAGACGAAGAAGAGGAAGAAAAAGGAGAAGAAGAAAAAGAGAAATATTTGTATTAAGAGAATAAACACTGGCTATTCCTGGAGTACAGGCTTATAGGTAAAAATTTCCAGATTTTTCAGTATATTCAAAATGTCTGTCATGGATATCTTAGAAAAATCAGGGTAAAAATTGAAACCTAACATGTAATTCCTGGCTCCTCTACTTAGTTGCAACAAGTATCCTTGTAGTAAGTACCTTCTCTATTTTTATCACTGTAGCCCGCTGGACTTTCATCTCCTTTGCCTAAGAGAAATGACAGCACTTTTCCACACAAAGCCACAGGCATGGATGTTCACAGTGACTTGACGTCAGTGGCCCAGCACTGGGAACAAGCCAAAGGTCTATCATGGCAATACAGAAACAGAGTGGTATATGAAGCAAATGGAATAGTCCCAAGCATTAAAATCAATAACTAAGGCTACTCAACAAATATGAACAAGGCTCAAAATAATTATGCTGAATGAAAGAAGAATATGGATTGCCCCCTATACAATTAAGCAGTGATATTAATGAATTAAGCAATGATACAGTGTCTTCTGCTGAGATTAGGTGAGCATCATGACTGAGCAAAGCACTGCCACATCAGGGTCACCTGAACACACAATGCAATTCCATTCATATAAAGCTTTAGTAAATGGAAACCCTCCTATCCTGACAGCATACCAGAGGCTGCCAGGTACTGGGGACAACGGTGAGAGGTCAACAGATTATGAAGGATTATGAAAACATTGCCATACTTTACAGAATGAGGAAATGCCCATTATCTTGCTTTTGTTGATGACTTCACATGTGCACATATGTCAAAACTTTAAATTCTATGATTTAATATATAGTTTATGGTCTATCAGTTATACCCCAATAAAGCAGAAAAGCAATAAATCAACTGCATGTTTCAATGGAAAAAAAAAAAAGATCTTTTCTTCCCTCTTAAAAATTCTTCAGCAGGGCAGAAAATAGGTCTGATGAGCACACCTTCCAGTCTTTGGTTTAAAGGTACCATTGACTTATTTACATCTCAGGGGAATTCCAATGAGATCTAAGGATTCCAAAAGTTTCTAAATCACTCTACCAAGAAAATGATAAATTATTTGCTAACACCTTCAAGTCATACTTTTTCCTCTAAAATATAAAATGAGAAGGCTTGACTCAGTGATCACCAAGTTCTGCTCCCATTCTGAAGGTGTAGTAAATAGATTTAATTTAGTGACATATACAAACCTAGTATTTTTACTTCTTGACTCTGTCCTTAAATATTCTATCCAAAGTAATGATTCCTCACTTTCAACCATCATTTAACATGTCAATGTTTCTTTGTCTTTAATAATTATTATCATAGTCTTCTCTACTTCTTGGCTTATTATCTGTCTTCTTCCATTATAAGATGAGTTTCTTTCACCATGGCATTCTCAGAATGTAGAATACTGACTGTTACTCAAAAAGTGGTTGAAGTCAATGAATGAAAGATAGGCACTGAATGGTAGTATTAAGGAAATGAATAATATAAGGTTGTTTCCCTCAAGAAGTACATTTCTTAGTAGGAAGGACATACATGTAAAAAATGTTTTTAAGTATTATAGATGTTATAATGAAAGAAACAAGTACAACATAAAGACATAGGAAAATCTATAAAGGGGAAAGTTTAAAGAAAAACATTGCCTGAGAATGTTCTATTACCAAATTCTTGTCAAGAACTGGTGATTCAACAGTAAATGATACATGATCATGGAGCTTCAATCTGGAAGGTGAAAAGACATTTAAAAAGATGTATTCCCTAAAATATTCCAAGTGCTATGTTAGTGCTCTGTTCACAATGCTACAACAGAAGGATTCTGACCTAGTGCAGGAACAGTTTTCTAGAGATGACCCCTGAGCTGAATCTGACATAATTTAAGAAATAGCTAGCCAAAGGGATGTAGTCTTAAGCCTGGTTATGACTTTTTCATCTCAAAGTAGACAAAACTCACCCTCTACTTCATAATTGATCATTTTCTTATATACAGCCAAAATTCTTTTTTTTTGGCGGGTGGGGGGCAGTTTTAACCAGGGATTAAACTCAGGGGCACTCTATCACTGAGCCACATCCTCAGCCCTATTTTGTATTTTATTTAGAGACAGAGTCTCTCTGAGTTGCTTAGTGCCTTTGCTTTTGCTGAGGCTGGCTTTGAACTTGCAATCCTCCTACCTCAGTCTCCCTAGCTGCTGGGATTATAGGTGTGTGCCACTCATCTGGCCTACAGCCAAAAATTCTTTTTTAAAAATTCCTATTTTCCTGTAACTTCTATTTCCAAGGTGATTAAAAACTTCATGAATACTAAATTACAAGGTATGTAATATAAATTTGCATGCTTTTTCTTTTATTTCTGTCTATGCCTTTACTGCCCTTGGGGGTCCCTCTTCCATAGTCTATCTATATCTGTTACATATTTATATGTTATATATCCATCTATTAAACCAGAATTACAAGGAATTGTACTAGTATTTCAGGTATTTTTTTTTTTTTGCAATGCTCCCAGAATGGTAAACACTGCTTTATTTTTTTGAGTAATTACAAACTACCTTTTTTTAAAATTACAAACTACCTCTTTGTTTTATTCTTTTGAAGTTTTGCTAGATTTCAGTCTCAAACTTATACTATTTACAAATGGTTTACTCCAATTTAAGAAATATCTGTTGAGGGGCTCGGGTTGTGGCTCAGAGGCAGAGCGCTCGCCTACCATGCATGAGGCACTGGGTTCGATCCTTAGCACCACATAAAAATAAAATAAAGATATTAAAAAAAAAGAAATATCTGTAGAATACCAGTAGTTCACTCTGGATGACATTGTGCAGAACACCAAAAAGATAGGCAATAGGAAGTTTAAAAAATCTGTTTAAATAAAAATTCTCACCCTAAGTTTTAAAATTCTATAATAAAATATAAGCAGAGTTGATACACAAGCAGTACATAAAGTTGTCCATACTGATCTTTTTTTATAGTGTGTGTCTTCTTTGATTGGATATAAGCTTAACTGGACCTGTGAGCTTGAAATTTTTACCCATTATGTTGATCAAATTTTAATGTTCTCCCTTGAATAATGAGAATCATACTGTCTCAAAAAATTACAGTATGAAATAAGAAAATGTTTCAAGAAATTAATAATAATAATAATAATAATAAACAGAAAGGTATTTTAAATTTAAAATAAATATAGCAGGTCATAAAGCAAGATTTATAAAATTAATATTATATATATCAATTCTCTGACAATAATAAAATTCATTTCTAAATTAATAATCTAAAATATAGCCTAAGAAAAGCTTCCATGCTTCTGGAAATTTAAAATCGCACTGAAAATGGCTCATATTAAATAATAAATCTATGGGAATTAAAAAACAATAAAACTAGCTGATAATAAAAGTACTATGTATAAGTATTTGCAACAACACACCTATAACAAAATCTAAGGGACATGTATAGCTCTAAATGCATATGTTAGAAAAGAAGATTGAAAAACAATGAATTTAGCATCTAAATCGCAAGTTGAAAAAGACCAAATAATAATAATAATAATAATAATAATGATAATGATAATATAATAATAAACCCAGATAACATAGAGGAAGGAAATAATAAAAAAACAGAAGTTAATGAAGTAAAAATTATGATTCTGTTGAAGACTTCCGAAATTGACCAATCTCTAGTCAGATTAACCAAATTAAAATATTTGAAGGCATAAGTTAACAATACTAAAAATGAAGAAAAGCATAATTACAGACATAAATAAAATACTTTCAATAAATTTATGTTAATATATTTTAAAACTTATATAAAATAATGTATACCTAAAAAATGACTTACAAAAAGTGACTCAAGAGGTAATAGAAACCTAAATGAATATGTATCCATTAAATTGAATTAGCAGTTACTAACTTTCCCCCAAAGAAAACAGCAGGGACTAGTAGCTTTACAATTTCTATTGTATACCCATTTTCAAGTATTTCTTATCTTATACAAGCTCTTCCAGAGAACAGAAAGAGATTTCTAGCTGTTTGTCCAAATACATTTTCCTCTTCTTCCCAGGCAAAAAGCTAGACTACATGTCCCAGCTTCCCATACCATTAGGTGAAGCCATGTGACTGAGTTCTAACCAATGGAATTTGAGTGGAAGTGATGTCACAAAAACCTCTCATTTTACTTTTCTCCACGTTCTCTCTCCAGACTGAAATAGAGATGATCCCCAGGAAAACCTTGGAAGCCAACATATCACCATCATAAGTCAACTGAATCTAATTAACACTATAGAAAATTCAATCCAACAACAGAAGAATGCATATTCTTTTCAAGTGCATGTGGTACATTCTCTAATAGTTGAAAATCATTGAAACTTCTAAATAATACATTTCTAAGTAATCCATGAGCAAAAAGAGAAAGTCTCGAATTAAAATAGAAAATATTTTCAACAAATAAAATGAAAACAAGATTTATGGAATGCCACTCTCTAAAACAGTACTTAAGAGGTTTAATCTACCATTTTTTTCATAAAAGGGGCAATCCTCTATCTTTATAAATTGTAGAATGTGAGAAGCCTCTCTGAATGAACACACCTTCCAGTCCTGATGTAGGGGGCTTTGACCAATTACTACATTTTGTAGTGACTTGGGCGTTGCCCCAGCTTGGATAGCAAAATATGACTTCAGGTGTATCTGCTGGGGTTGAGTTACACTCACCTGCTTCCTTGTAATCCTAACCCTTGTAATCCTGCCCTTTTTTGGATAGAACTTTCTAAGAAATGCATCCCCCACCCCCCAAATAAAAGCCTATTTCCGAACATGCTTCCCTCTTTCTGGTCAGCCTCTTGTGACTTTCTCTTGCTCTCCCTTTTGGGGGGCTTGAGGCCAAGAGCCAGGGAAAGCCATCTTGAAGCTTGTGTAAAGGTAATTTGTGTCTGTGTTTTATTTTGCATCATCCCAAATTCACACAAGTGACCTTAATTCAGCCACCTGCACTGGACGGGGGCAATAATAGAACCAACAGTATACTACATATTTCATGAAAAAGTCATTGCACTTTTATTCTCAATGCATTATAGACCTAGATGTTGTAATGTAATGGCTTATATGGACTATGAAAGAGGTTTTAGAAATAATTATTTCTGATTACTTCTACAATGACTTATATAGATATTTAACCAGCTCTTTTTCCTGTTCTTCACTGCAGGTACTTTTTAACTTTCTCCTTTTTTGCTCAAGGCCAAGGCAGGAGGATCACAGTTTTGAGGCCAGCCTCAGCAGATTAGTGATACTCTGTTTCAAAGTAAAAAATAAAAAGGTCTGGATGTAGCTCAGTGATAAAGCACCCCTAAGTTCAATCTTCAGTATCACAAAAAAAAAAAAAAAAAGAAAGAAAGAAATGACTCAGGTCAGAGCTGGTACACCCACAGAAAGCCATGCCTGACTCTTCACAGTCATTATAAGGACAACTCCATAATGTCAGAATCCACTGAGCTGAGCAGTTAGATTTGAGCACTCAGCTGGGTGTGGTGGTGCATGCCTGATTCCCAGCTACCTGGGAGGATGAGGAGAATTACTTGAGCCCAAGAATATGAGACCAGCCTGGTCAACACCACCAGACCCTGTCTTTTGAAAAGATAATTAAATAAGTAAAATAAAAACTAGATGGCCAGAAGATATAGGCAACTCCTTTATAATAGATGCTATAACAATAATACTTTACCCCCAAAAAAGAGTTCAGCCAAAATAACCTGTACCATGTTCAATTACAAGTTCAGTTACAGATAGTAACTATAATAAATACTCTGGTACAAAAGAAAATGTAGTTGTCATTCAGATACTCTTGGGACTCATCTTGATTTTTGAAGACAGGCTAGATCAGGTGAAAAGGCACGAGATTTTTCAAGTCAGAAGTTCTGAGTTGAATTCTGATTTACCTCTTGACATTACCTCAAGTTGTGGGCAAAGTAAGAGCTAATGAATAAAAAAAATTAAAAGGTATAAATAGCTATTAAATATATTATTCATCTGATGAGATGAATAATAACAATAATTCTCAAAATAGATCATCTACTTTATTACCTACCTACCATATTTTTATACCATATAATTTTTATACCATATAAAATACACTGATTTTATGTGTATAAAATGATTTTGCATCATAGTTAGATAGCTGTCTTGAACTTATTGCTATCTAGCTCTTTGAAGTCAGTGCAGACAAATGAAATTTGAAATAATATAGATATATGAAGCAAATATTACTTGTATTAAGTAACCCTACTAGAAAGTATACCTAAGTGATATTAGTATTTCTAAATAAATGCCTTTAATAAATTATACTTCAATATTATCTGTTCATTTTTAATGAACAAGGTTCTAATAAAGAAATGATTATATAGGGAGTAATTATCAAACATTAGCTATTTTATCCACTACATAATCCTGTGTCCCTTTCATAAGAATTTTATGAGAAATTCCTTTTAGAATTTAATATCAAGAAACATTTTTGTTAAACTGTCAACTGTGGGTTTTTTTGCCAGATAACAAGAATTATAAGTCCAGTGTTTCTTTGTTTTGCATACCAGAAAGTTTAAATATAAAATTCATGCTTGATTATGGAAATTAATTTAACTCAAATTTTAAAATTATGACTTTCCATTTCTACTTTTAGTTTTCATCTTTTATATAATGTGTTCTATTATATATGACTTTTACTGAAAGTTACTTTAAACCACAAAAGTTGGCAAGATAAACAAACATACATACAGTCAAGTTCCAGTGAAATTTTAAAATTTGCCATAAATTTGTTAGTACTTCAAGGGCCCCTACTAGTGTCTCTTGACACTTTGAAATTTTATTCTTAAATAAATTTCCCTGCTGCCTGGTATATAGTAGAGATTTAACTGTAAAGATTCATACTCCCATTTGAGAAATCACTACACAATGGAAGTGGAATTCATTCATTTGACAAATATTTACTGAACACCTACTATGTACCAATACTAATCTAGAAGCCAATAATATGGTGGTAAACAAGACAAGTGTTCAAGGGCTCATATTTTAGTACAAGGGGACGAATGAATAAACACACAAGCAAATAAGATACTTTTAGAAATTGATAAAAATCTTGAAGAAATTATATAATGCCCAGGAGGGAGTTGCAAAGAATGCCTCAAGAGAATATGTATTCTAAAGAAGATAAAAATAAGAAAGAAAAAGAATATGTATTCTCATACTGTCATCCACCGAAAGATCTGAATTATCCATTTAAGAAGGACACTGCCTATATTTGTCACTGACTCAATCATTTGGAGAGTTGTTCTTTTTTTTTTTTTTTACAATGCCAGGAAGCCCTATTTAAGTATATAGAAGTAAATATGGTACCACTGGAGAGCAGAAGTTTGTTGACCTTCACCAAAAGAGGCTTTAATTTTATCTCTCAAGTCTCCCCTGAATTTACCTGGGTTCTCTTCACTACAACCTTTCTTCCAAAAGGTGGGTGGGTCATAGATAAATACACATCACTGTCTACATAAATACTTAAGTATTAGTTTCTCTGACTTCAGTTAGGAAGACATTGAGGTCATTGTTGGCTTTTCTTTGTTGCGGTTGTAGCATCCTCTGGTGGGCATTAATTTATCGTATACCTGCTGAGAAAAACTCTTACAGCTTTTGGCACAAAAATAAAAAATATACAGCACTTTATTATTTGTATTAATAAAATAAAGCATCATGTGGTGCTTGTTGTCAAGTTTACATAAATCCCTGAGAAAAAAAATGTAGTAAGTATAAATAATATTGTTACTATTAATAATAAATGTAGGGCTGGGGATGTGGCTCAAGCGGTAGCTCACCTGGCATGCGTGCGGCCCGGGTTCGATCCTCAGCACCACATACAAACAAAGATGTTGTGTCCGCCAAAAACTAAAAAATAAATATTAAAATTCTCTCTCTCTCACTCTCTTTTAAAAAAAATAATAATAAATGTAAATGTTGTGAGGGCCTTGCTAAATTGCTGAGGCTGGGCTTGAGCTTGCAATCCTCTCGTCTCAGCCTCCTTATCCACTGGGATTACAAACATGCATCACCACACTCAGCATCATTGTCCACTTTTTTTCATTTTTAATTTTTTTTAGTTGTTGATGGACCTTTACTTTTATTTATTTATATGTGGTGCTGAGAATCAAACCCAGTGCTTCACACATGCTAGGCAAGTGCTCTACCACTGAGCTACAACCCCAACCCTCATTGTCCACTTTAATGGACCGTTTCTGTCATGAACTGTTACCAATTTGACTGAACTCCAACTTCCACAACACTGTGAAATATTCTCTGTAACTACTGTTATTTTCCCCTCCATTCCTCTGTAATCCTATTAAGAGACTCTGAAATGAAGTAAGCAATTTTGTTATTTAAGCTCATTGCACATTCTGAAATGATCAAATATATGACTAGAAGTTATTTTAACCCCCTAAAAGCCAGCAAGAGATCAAGAGGGAAAAAATAGTTTGTTCCATAACAAACTGAAATTTTATTCCACAACAAACTGAAACTTCCACATCTTAGAGAATTAGATAGATACAACTAGTAAGACTAGTTAATATACGCAATCTTATAGACATGTCTGTATGCATTAAAATATTATATATAATCCTATTCACTTAATACTTCATAAGTAAAAGCAAAAAATTTCCTTATATTTAGTTTTTTAATAAATGCTATCTTGACCTTGTTTTGAGGTCCTGGCTAGAGAATGGTCAATTCCCTTTCTAGAGCAGCCTGTTAAGTTCATAACTTCAAACATCTCCCTTACTGGGAATCCCACACTCTGGCCACTATACTACCAAACCTAATTATCCCAGGATCTGATACTAAACAACCAGGAGATCTACAACCTTATGAAGAAATTCCTTTATGCTTACTTAAGATCTTATTTAAAGGAGTTCCTACTAAATATAGTCAAACATGACTGATAGAAGTTTGGGGCAGAGAGAAAATGTGCTTTGATTATTTATTTCTCACTCAAGATAAATATGAAAGTCTCAGGTTTTTATATTTATTATGACAGATCTTTCATATTAAGAATAGGAAAATAATTGTCTTTAGAAACTTTCCCTAG